TATCTTTCTTGTTGTCTTCCTTTGTAAATTGATAATCTTCTGTAGTGGTATGTTTTCATTCTCTTCTCTTTATCTTCTGTGTATATGCTATAGGTTTTTGTAGTGTGGTTAACCTGAAGCCTTATTAAAATATCTTATAACATTCTATTTTAACTAATGACTCAACTTTAATTGCATACAAAAATTCTATTATTTTACTTCACACTACATTTAATGTTTTTGGTGTCACAATGTACATCTTTTAATCTTGTGTTTTCACTAAAAAGTTACTGTAACTATAGATATTTTAATACTTTCATCTTTTAACCTTTATACTAGGGTTAAGTGATTCACACATCACCATTACAGTGTTAGAGCATTCTGAATTTGACTGTATACTTACCAGTAAATTTTATACTTTCCTTTTTTCATGTTATTAATTAGCATGTTTTCAATTCAACTTGAAGAATTTTCTTCAGCATTTCTTGCAAGGCTGGTCTAGTGGTAATGAACTCCCTCAGCTTCTGTTTGTTTGGGAAAGTCTTTATCTTTCCTTCATTTCTGAAGGACAGCTTTGCTAGGTAAAGTGTTTTTGGTTGGCAGGTTTTTTTCTTCCAGCACTTTGAATATATCATCCCATTCTCTTGTGAATTGTTAAGATTTCTACTGAGAAATCCACTGATAGCCTTGTGGGGGATTCCTTTGTATGAGAGAAATTTATTTTCTCTTGCTGCTTTTAAAATTCTCTCTTTGTCTTTGATTTTAGACACTTTTGTTATAATGTGTCTTAGAGAAGATTATTTTAGATTGAAATTTTGGGGTGATTTATTAGCTTCATGAACTTGGATTATCAAAATCTTCCCCCAGATTTGGGAGTTCTTAGCCATTATTTCTTTTAAGTAAGCTTTCTGCCCCCTTTCTTCTCTTCCCCTTCTGGGACTACAATGATACATAGGTTTTTTTCTGTAGGCTCTCTACATTTCTCTTCATTCTCTTTTCTTTTTGCTCCTCTGATTAGATAATTTCGAATGACTTGTCTTTGAGCTCACTGATTCTCCTGCTTAATCCAGTCTGCTGTTGAAGCTCTCTATTGAATTTTTCAGTTCTGTCATTGTATTCTTCAGCTCCAAAATTTCTGTTTGGTTCTTTTTAATGTTTTCTATCTCTTTGTTGAGCTTCTCATTTTGCTCTTGTTTTGTTTTCCTATTTTTTCTAAATTGTTTACTTGAGTTCTCTTGTAGCTCTCTGAGCATTTTTAGAACAATTATTTTGAATTCTGTGCCTGACAATTCCTGAGTCTCCATTTCTTTGGGGTCAATCATTGGAAGTTTACACTCTTTCTTTGGTTGAGTCATGTTTCCCTGATTCTTCTTGTTCCTTGTAGCCTGGCACAAGTATCTGCACATGTGTAGAAGCAGCCATCTCTTCCAGACTTTATGGAAAATATCTTCACCTGCAGTTGGGGACATGCTTGAGAGTACGATGACCTGAGCACAGGGTACCAATTGTGAGGGCATGTGGAAACTCTAGTTCCAGGGTGCATGGTGATTTGTTGGCTCAGCATGATGGAGTCCACATCACTGATACTGTGTGGTACTTGGTGAGTGGTGTGGATGGTCCACAGGGACTGCAAGGACTGTTGTGGTCCTCAGTTGTGCCTCCAGTTCCTGCGCTAGGGACCAGGGTTGATAAAAGTGGTTATCAGAGCTGGTGGTGTACATACACTTGGCTGCAGGTGCCAGCAGCAGGTGCCTGTGTGGTGGCAAGGGCCAATTACAAACACGCATATACTGATAGGGTTCTGGTGACGCAGCAAAGACTGAGGCTACCTGTAGTTGCAATGGAAGCTGCAGGGACCCTGCTCTTGGTGTATACTTCCATAGCTGCTGGTTCTTGCCATGGGTACATGGCAGTGGAGGCTAGTTTTGGGAGTCAGACTGGGGTCATGCAGGTGTACAGTTGGAGGGGTTAGCTACAGGTGACCAGAGTAGTATAAGCCAGTGACAAGACATAGAGCTGAACCGGGGTCCACAAGCAACTGTGGACCTTGGCTATTGTGGTACAGTCCTGTGGTTGCAAGATCTTGCCACAGGAATGGCAAGTCGAAGTTAGTGACTGGTGTCAGTCCAGTGGTGCATAAGAACACAGCTGGTGGAGCTACCATGGGGGTGGTCACCTGCAGGATTCTAGGCTGCTATCTTGCATTTTCACAGCTTCTGGTGTGAGCTGGCTACTGGTCCTGGTCCCAGGTTATGGTGGGGCCTTGCATGAGGGATTGGGAAGGGACTCAGATGGCTTGCGTCAGTGAACACAAATACTTGTGGGGCATAAACCAGTAAAATATTCAGGAGGTCTGCAGCAACTGTGCTGGTCATTGGTTTCTTCAGTGGTGAAAGCTACCAGAATCATCTATAGAGCAGGTCGCTGGAAACCATAGTAACCCCTAGTGTGAGGCTGACACTGGTAGTCCCTGCTTTTCTTCCTTGTTCTTAACTGCTTCTATACAACTCAGGTTTGACAGTTTCTGGCTGGGGTGAAACAAAAGTGGGTCCTTTGTGCAGTTCCCTGAAAGGCTGGGGAAGTAGGTTTGCTCATCCTGCTTTCTGTTTACCAGTGAGGGGAATTATTTCTAAATAGGAAGTTCCCACTTTGTGCTGAGCAGTGTTGTCTTGGGGAATGGGATGATGCAGGCAAAATGAAGCTTTCTCGGACCTGGTATGAAGCCAGTGAGACAACAACCCATTCTTGTAGGCTGTGGAGTGGGGGCCTGACCAATGCTGTTTCCTTCACTTTTGTGTGGTTATTCTCAAGTTTTTTGTTCCACTATGTTGCTGACGTTTCTTCAGAGGACTCTAGATCTCTCCCAGGGCTTTTTTTGGTGGATATCTTTCTGCAGCCATCAGCATATAACAGAATCTGGTACTTGTAACTATATGGTTTGGAACATGTGCGCAGGAACAGTTGTCTTGATTTTTAGTAGCACTAGGGTCAAGGACCCCTTCCAAATTTTACACCTCAGTACCCCTGACAAGGGCCCAGCATCCTGTGCTTAGATGTTCCAAGTCTGTTTCTTCGAGCCAACTAACACATGAAGTCCTTTAGGGTGGAGGTTGGCCTTTTCTGACAGCATGCTGCTTGGTGTGTATGGTGCCTGGTGGCCACACTGTGTATGTGTTTGCTCTGCTCATTGATGACTGGGTGCTGGGAGAAGCCCTACTTTGCTCCTTTCTCCAAAGAACCAAGACTTCAAGTCTGAAATTTCCTCTGTGAGAATAATTGGGTTCATCATGAGACAACAGAAGCAAGGATTGAAATTTGCCATGGGGACTGCTCAGGGGACCCTTCTGACAGGAATTTCTGTTTCTTTGTGAAGTAGACTTCCTAGGATGTTACTCATTTCTCTTCCAGTAAATATTTGGGGCTACCGAGAATGAAAAAGTGAACTGAAATTCTCCCTGGACCCAGCTAATAAGAAGGGCTCTTTCTCAGACCCTGCAAGGCAACTCTGGAGAGCTTTTGGCAGGACTGGAAGAGGAGTGTGTATCGTAGGTGCATAGGTCTGTTGGTTGGCCGCAGCCCATTGGTCAGGGCTCTACTGGCACTTATGGGGCTCTTCCACATGTCCTCCCTCTGGGGACACCAAGAGGTGGCAATACTTCCTGGGATTTGCTCTTCTCATAGCCGAACCTGAAGCTTCAGAGGGGCTTACAGTAACATGGGGTGCTTCTGTCTAGTCCACCAACTGGTCAAAAAAGCCACTGGCCAAGGCCAAAGTCAGTGGGGTAGGGAAGTAGATCTGTCTGTTTCACTGGAGACCACTGCAGAAGGCATGCAAGTGAAGTCCTATTGCAGAGATAAAAGGATGAGGAGTGATCCAATCTTCCCAAATAAGCAATGAGGTGTTGCTTTTATGACATCAGGAAACCTGGTGTCCAGTAGAGTGTAGCTCTGTTGTCCCCTAGTTCTCTATAGCAAATGAAATCACATGTCATTTACATATCTCCACATTGTTTTTATCTTTCTATCTGTGATTTTGGGTAGTCCTTTCCAGATGGGTTACTGTTGGGGCCCTCCTCTTTCTGCTCTTTACAGAGGTTCACACAAGGCAACTGTTCCAAGGCAGCAGATCCAGGGGTCCCTCCTTAACCTCTAATGGGCTGCTCTGAGGTACCTAACAGTGGTAACATGGACTAACATCTCCTGAGCGTGCTGGAAGCAGGTCCAATGAGTACATCTGCTTCTGTCCTTCATTAGCAACATGAGCCACAAGGGGACATGTTTTGGGAACATAAATTTCACACAGAAACGTCACAATTGCTACGTGTTTCACTAATTAGTATAATGTGAAATTTATCCCTATTAGAAAGATGCACTGGATGTTGTCATGATTTACTAGAGAATACTACTTCCTAGTCATTGAATCTGATGCTTGTTACATCATGAACATCAGCAGGTGTGGGGTGACTGCACAGAGGCAGTGGTGAGAAATGGTTTAGCACCGGTTTACCTGCATGCAGTTTGGAATCAGAGAACTGATTCTGGCTTAGCCACTTACAAGATCTGTGTCTCTCCATGTCTCGATGTCCTTATCTATCAATTGAGGGTATAACATACACACCTGGAGGAAGTTTGAGGATTAAATAAGATGATGTATGCATGGAGTTAGTGTAGGACTTGATCCACTGCAGGGTTAATAAATGCTGGTTAGATGGTTGTGGTCCCAAACACTGTGTTAGATTCTATGCGACTTCACCCCATTTAGGAATCCACAGCAGCAGCTGGAGAAGGAGCTGAGGAGAAGGGGGACCAATCGGTCATGTGGCTGGAAACAAAGACTTACTGATGGTCTCAAACTCAAGGTTTTGTGGATTCCAAAGGTTGCTTTGATTTCCTTTTGAACATCCTGTGCTCCATGCAGTTTGACTGCTAAAAAAGTGCTTTGGATTTTGCTAGTTGGTCATAGAATGGGAAACTCCTCTGGGCTTCCATGGACCTGATATCAATGTCCTTTTCCTCCACAGATTCCTGTGCTCCTGAACCTGAGCAGAGACCCTGAGGTCAACCTGCCTGTGCCACCGCTCATGTATGCCCTTGCCTTTGGCGCCTGCCTGGGAGGTAAGGGAGTGTTAATGCATTTGAGAGAGGGCCCCCTGACACTGTGGTGAGCCTGAAGTGATAATTAATGCATGCCAAATTGCAAGTAAAGTAAGAATAGTCCAGATGATTTCCTGAGTGGAAACCCATCTTCACCTTTGACTGGAGCAGTTCTAAACATACTCAGTTCCTCTGCAAGGCCTGTCACTTCTCACTCTATGCAGAACTGCCCCTGACATTCTAAGTCTGTGGCCTGAGGATGATCATTATGACATCTCAAAGTTAACCTGCTCCCACACTGAATGCAGATGTGGCATAGGTTTAGAAACAGATATTGAATCAGAAACCATCCTCAGTGGCAGCTTCTTATTCCCTTTTTAAGGAGTGTGTGTTGGGGTGGTGAAGTGATGAATGAGTAAGCTAAGAAGTAGAGACTCTAACCTAAGAGTAAGAAGAAAGATTTTTTTAAATTCTTTTTGGCTGGAGGAGTATGTTGTCCTGTGGAGTCATTGAAAAGCCAATTAGAAAAATGTTGGGAGAGACTAACCTCTGGTGAGTAAACACAAAGTCTTTGGACGTGATTGTATTCGGAAGGAGGCCTAATCACCTTTGGGAATACAAGAGGATTGTGAGAATCTTAGATAAACACACTAGATACCTTTTAAGTTTTTATTTTTACATCCAGATACTCTTAGATAGTTATCTTTCCCTGTTCTTTGATTTGTCTCAACTATTAGATCAACAGCCTTCTTTTTAGTTTATCTTCTTGTTTGTAAAGGGAGATTAATGTCATTCAGTGAAGTTGCTGTGATTTCTGGAGAGCTAATTCATCTAATCCAGCAACTGAGGCCTCATGTTCTGAGTGCAGGGTTGTTAAAATTGCCCCCATCTGAGATCAGCCCCAGGGAAAGCAATAACTGCATTCACAGCTACATTTAATATCAGTGGTAGAGACAGAATCCAAAGACACCTGGAAATGTGTCCTCTGTGTGGAATTTGGTTCATTAAACCTTATTGAGCATCTTCTATACCCTGGCATTATCCTTCAGAGTGGGGAGACAGTCACCTAAGCTAAGATTATAACATAAACGTATCCTCTCATAGCCATGTGCATAGAGCGCTCAGAGGGTACCAGGGAGACTGGGGGAAAGTCAGGAATGACTCTCCAGAGGGAAAGTTTTGAGCTGGGTCTCAAAGGATGAGAAGCCTCCTGGGCTAGTTCAGATTCCCCCAGAACATGTAGAATGAATATGGAGGGGATTATCAAGGAGATAAGTTAATGTGGACCATTTCTATGGCTAATAACTTAAAATATGATTAAGCATTTGTTGACTGAGCCCCTTTTGTAAACAGGGGTATAGCTATAGCGAACAATAAAAGTAATAAGCCATGGGATCTTTCTAACCTAGTAGCTCTGGTCATTGAATGGTACTTTTTCCTGGTACAGTGGATGCCTACTTGTGCTGGGTGTTAGCTCTACGTTTATTCTGTTGGGGGAACTTCTCTCATTAACTCAGAGTTTGAGAATTTAAAAAATTCTGGTAAAATATACATAGCATAAAGTTTACAATTTTAACCAATTTTAAGTGTACAGTTCAGTGACATTAAGTGCACTCATATTGTGCAATCATCACCACTATCCATCTCCAGAACTTTTTCATCATCCCAAACTGAAACTTTGTACCCATTAAACCATAATTCCCCAGTCCCACAGCGTTTGACATTTTGAAGACCATTTTAAATAGGAATTTTCAGTTGGTTTGAGAAATGTCATTTGTTCTATAAATTGGGTGTGACTCACTAAATAGTTTGAAACAAAAAGTCTTTCCTGGTCTTCTCTCAGTACCTTTTGGTTGCTCTTTTTACTAAGAGCTAAGAACAATTCAAATAAGTCTTAATAAAAATCTGCCTTAGCCTGGGTGTCCTAGAAGGCAGAGGTTGAGGCAAGTTTGCATGCTGAAGATTTATTGGGACATGTACTTCTAGGGCAGGAAGACTGAGGGAGGAAGTGAGGTAAGGCAGTGAAGGAGAGAAAGCAAATACATGGTATATTACAAAGCTAGTAACAGCTTCAAAAGAAATCAAAGCCAATTTTTAGTTAGGTGGGGATGGGACATTTTCTAAATGGTTCCTGAAGAACAGAAAAGCTAAGTGAAATCTCTTAGTGCCTTTGTAGAGTGTGCAGTGAAGTGGGTTATGCTGCAGAACCAATGTGAGAAAAGCTTCAGAGACATTCTGAGCCTTTGCAGACTACACTGAAGTGGGGACAGGGCAGAGAGCCACCTTTTGAAGGGTGAACAGCCATGACAGAACTTCAGAGAGAATCTTCAGCAATCAGCAGGTTACAAACCTGTTAGGAAATTGATAACTCAGATATATAGCCAGAAACCCAGAATCTTCCTTTGCTCATATCTCTGTTTCAGAGAACTCCTCATCCCACCCTCAAAACATTTGCAGCTGGTGGGAAATTGAATTCAACTTAAGGTGAAACAAAGCCAGGTCCAGCTCAGCAACAGATTAGATTGGCTCCATGCCCTGCACTGACAGCCTGGCACAAATGGGGATGCGCTCTTCAGTGTGTGTGTGTGTATGTGCAAATATTATACTTTTATCTCAGTAGTTCTTTACATAAATTGTTCAGCATACCACTACCTTGGTAAAGAACACCTACAAAAACCCTGCAGATAACCTCATACTTACTGTTGAAATACTGAATGTTTGTCCCCTAAGATTGGGAACAAGGAAAGGATGTCTGCTCTTACCTCTCTTATTCAGCATAGTGCTGGAAAATCTACCTAGCGCAATAAGGCAAGAAAAGGAAATAAAAGGTATACAGATTGGAAAGGAAGAAATAAAATGGTTCCTACCATAGATGACAGGATTGTCTTGGTGGATACCAAGGAATCTATTTTTTAAAAAATCAGAAAACCATATAACTAATTTGTGAGCTCAGCAAGGTCACTGGATACAAGATAGACATACAAAAATCACTTTTAGCAATGAACACATGGAAACCACAATTAAATATACAATACTATTTAGAATCACTCAAAAAATTAAATACTGAAGCTGAAATTACAATACGCTTATAAAAGAAATTAATGAAGATCCAAATAATTGGGAAGACATACAGTGTTCATGGATTGGAAGGCTCCACATAGTAAAAATGTAAACTGTCCCCAAATTAATATTTAGGTTTAATGCAATTTCTACCAAAATCTTAGCAAGATTTTTTTGTTTATATCTATATCTATAGAATTTATAAATATACATATGGAATGGAGGACATATAAATTGTAAATAAGCACATGAAAAGATGTTCAGCATTATTAACCATTAGGAAAATGCAAATTAAAACCATGATAAGGGAATTCCTTGGCAGTCCAGTGGTTAAGACTTTGCCTTCCAATGGCAGGGGGGTGCAGGTTTGATTCCTGGTCGGGAACCTAATATCCCACATGCCTGGCAGCCAAACAACCAAAACATAAAAGAGAAGCAATATTGCAACAAATTCAATAAAGACTATAAATGGTCCGCATCAAAAAAAAAAAATCTTAAAACCATGATAAGATATCATCACACACCTATAAGAATGGCTAAAATAAAAAATAGCGAAAACACCAAATGCTGACCAGAATGTGGAAAAAATGGATCACTCAGACATTGTTGTTGGAAATGTAAAATGTCCATCACTCTGGAAAACAGTTTGGCAATGTCTTAAGAAACTAAACGTGCAACTGCCATAAAACTCAGCAATTACACTACTAGGAATTTATTCTAGAAAAATAAAAACTTATGTTCACCCCCAAACCTGTACACAAATGTTTATGGAAGCTTTATGTATAATAGCCAAAAAGTAGAAACAAATATGATGTCCTTCAACAATAAATGTTTAAACAAACTGTGATACAATACATCCATACCAGGGAAAGCTACTCAGCAATAAAAAATAAATGAGTTATTGATACAAGTGACAACCTTGATGAATTTCCAGAGAATTATGTGGAGTGAAAAAAGGCCAATCTGGAGGCAACTCCTTCAAGATGGCAGAGGAGTGGGACTGGGAGATCAACTTCCTCCCCACAAATACAGCAAAACTACATCTACATGTGGAACAACTCCTATAGAGCACCTACTGCACGCTGGCAGAAGACCTCAGACTTCCCAAAAGACACCCTCAGACGACCTACAGGCCAAGGCGGGGCCAAATCCAATGCTGAACCTTAGGAGCTCTGCAAACAAGAGAAAGGGGCATTTCTCCCAGTAGCCTCAGGAGCAGCAGATTAACTCTTCACAGTCAACTTGATGTACCCTGCATCTGTGGAATACCTGAATAGACAACGAATCATCCCAAAATTGAGGTGGTGGACTTTGGAAGCAACTGTAGACTTGGGGTTTACTTTCTGCATCTAATTTGTTCCTGGTTTTATATTTATCTTAGTTTAGTATTTAGAGCTTATTATCATAGGTAGATTTGTTTATTGATTTGGTTGCTCCCTTCCTTTATATAAATATATATATCTTTTTTCCTTTTTCTCTTTTTGTGAGTGTGTATGTGTATGCTTCTTTGTGTGATTTTTGTCTATATAGCTTTGCTTTTGCCATTTGTCCTAGTGTTCTGACTGTCCTTTTTTGTTTTTGTTTTTTAGTATAGTTTTTAGTGCTTGTTATCATTGATGGATTTGTTTTTTGGTTTGGTTGCTTTCTTCTTGCCTTCTCTCTTTCTTTAAATTACTTTTGATAATTATTTACTTTTTGATAATTTTTTATTTTAATAACATTCTTTTCCTCCATTCCCTCCTTCCTTCCTTCCTTCCTTCCTTCCTTTCTTTTTTCTTTCTTCCTTTCTCTCTTTCTTTCTTTCTTTCTCCTTTCTTTCCTTCTTTCTTTCTTTCTTTTTCTCCCTTTTCTTCTGAGCTGAGTGGCTGACAGAGTCTTGGTGCTCCAGCTGGGTGTCAGACCTGAGCCTCAGAGGAGGGAGAGCTGACTATAGGACATTGGTCTACCAGAGACCTCCCAGC